CCAGGATTCCAAAGGAATTTCCCCAGAATTCCATGGGATTTCCCAGGATTCCAAAGGGATTTCCCAGAATTCCAAAGGATTTCCCAGGATTTTAATGGGATTTCCCAGGATTCCAAGGGAATTTTCCAGAATTCCAAAGCGACTTCCCAGAATTCCAAAGGAATTTCCCAGAATTCCAAGGGATTTCCCAGGATTTAAATGGGATTTCTCAGGATTTCAATGGGATTTCCCAGGATTCCATGGGATTTCCCAGAATTCCATGGGATTTCCCAGAATTCCAAAGGAATTTTCCAGAATTCCAAAGGGATTTCCCAGAATTCCATGGGATTTCCCGGAATTCCATGGGATTTCCCAGGATTTTAATGGGATTTCCCAGGATTCCGTGGGATTTCCCAGAATTCCATGGGATTTCCCAGGATTCCATGGGATTTCCCAGAATTCCAAGGGAATCTCCCAGGATTTTAACGGAATTTAACGAGCCTTCAGCAGCACCCGCTGACATTTCCTGGGATCCAGGTGGATTTTCCCGGGATTTCACGGAATTCCAGCCGATTCCGGCGGGAATTTTGACGATTCCCGGCCCCCGCTCTCCCTGGAATTCCCGGAATTCCGGGAATTCCGGCTCCATACCCTGCGGATCCGATTTCTTGAAGGCGTTCCCGGCGTCCACGAAGTTGACGGCGGCGTCGTGTTTGCTCTGGAGCTGCAGCTGGAGCTGCGCCGCGCGGGAGAACGCCGCGCCCGCCTCTGGAAAACACCCGGAAAAACACCCGGAAACGCCGGGATCAACACCGGGAAACACCGGGATCAACACCGGGAAACACCGGGAGAACGCCGCGCCCGCCTCTGGAAAACACCCGGAAAACACCGGGATAAACACCGGGATAAACACCGGGAAAAACACCGGGAAACAGCGGGATAAACACCCGGAAAACACCGGGATAAACACCGGGATCAACACCGGGAAACAGCGGGAGAACGCTGCGCCCGCCTCTGGAAAACACCCGGAAACAACAGGATAAACAGCGGGATAAACACCAGGAAACAGCGGGAGAACGCCATGCCTGCCTCTGGAAAACACCAGGATAAACACCGGGATAAACACCGGGATAAACACCGGGAAACAGCGGGAGAACGCCGCGCCCGCCTCTGGAAAACACCCGGAAAAACACCCGGAAACACCGGGATCAACACCGGGAAACAGCGGGAGAACGCCGCGCCCGCCTCTGGAAAACACCCGGAAAAACACCGGGATAAACACCGGGAAACAGCGGGAGAACGCCGCGCCCGCCTCTGGAAAACACCCAGAAAACACCGGGATAAACACTGGGATAAACACCGGGAAACACCGGGATAAACAGCAGGATAAACACCGGGAAACACCAGGATAAACAACGGGATAAACAACGGGATAAACAGCGGGAAACAGCAGGAAACAGCGGGATAAACACCGGGAAACACTGGGATAAACACCGGGAAACACCGGGATAAACAACGGGATAAACAGCGGGAAACAGCGGGATAAACAGCGGGAGAACACCGCGCCCGCCTCTGGAAAACACCCGGAAAAACACTGGGATAAACACTGGGATAAACAGCGGGAAACAACAGGAAACAGCGGGATAAACACCGGGATAAACACCGGGATAAACACTGGGATAAACAGTGGGAAACAGCGGGAGAACGCCGCGCCCACCTCTGGAAAACACCCGGAAAACAGCGGGATAAACACCGGGAAACAACAGGAAACACAGGGATAAACACCGGGAAACAGCGGGAGAATGCCGCGCCCGCCTCTGGAAAACACCCGGAAAACACTGGGATAAACACCGGGATCAACACCGGGAAACACCGGGATAAACACCCGGAAACAGCGGGATCAACACCCGGAAAACACCGGGATAAACACCGGGATCAACACCGGGAAACAGCGGGAGAACGCTGCGCCCGCCTCTGGAAAACACCCGGAAACAACAGGATAAACAGCGGGATAAACACCAGGATAAACACCGGGATAAACAACAGGAAACAGCGGGAGAACGCCACGCCTGCCTCTGGAAAACACCAGGATAAACACCAGGATAAACACCGGGATAAACACCGGGAAACAGCGGGATAAACACTGGGAAACAGCGGGATAAACACCAGGAAACAGCGGGATAAACACCGGGATAAACACCAGGAAACAGCGGGATAAACACCAGGAAACAGCGGGATAAACACCAGGAAACACCGGGATAAACACTGGGATAAACAGCGGGATAAACACCGGGATAAACACTGGGATAAACATCGGGATAAACACCGGGATAAACAGCGGGATAAACACCGGGAAACAGCGGGATAAACACTGGGATAAACAGCGGGATAAACACCGGGAAACAGCGGGATAAACACTGGGATAAACAGCGGGAAACAGCGGGATAAACAGCGGGATAAACACCGGGAAACAGCGGGATAAACACTGGGATAAACAGCGGGATAAACACCGGGATAAACAGCGGGATAAACACCGGGAAACAGCGGGATAAACACTGGGATAAACAGCGGGATAAACAGCGGGAGAACGCCGCGCCCACCTCTGGAAAACACCCGGAAAACACCGGGATAAACACCGGGATAAACAGCGGGATCAGCAACAGGATCAGCAGCATTCCCAGGATCCCCACGATCCCCGGGATCCCCGACATTCCCGACATTCCCGACACCCCCAGGATCCCGACATTCCCGACATCCCCAGGATCCCGACATTCCCGACATTCCCAACATTCCCGACATTCCCGACATTCCCAGGAATTCCCGGGATGCTCCCGCAGCACTCACGGCTCCAGTTTTTGGCCATCTTGAACATGTTGGCGGCGCGGGTGAAACAATCGCTCGCCTCCTCCAGCCGGGAAGAGCCCCTGGAACAGCCGGAACAGCCGGAGTGGGAAACGGGAAATGGGAATTGGGGATTGGGAATGGGAATTGGGAATGGGGATTGGGGATTGGGGATTGGGGATTGGGGATTGGGGAATAGGAACGGGGAATTGGGAAAATGGGAATGGGAATGGGGAATTGGGGATTGGGAATGGGAATTGGGGAATGGGAATGGGAATGGGGAATTGGGGATTGGGGAATAGGAACGGGGAATTGGGAAAATGGGAATGGGAATGGGGAATTGGGGATTGGGGAATAGGAACGGGGAATTGGGAAAATGGGAATGGGAATGGGGAATTGGGGATTGGGGAATAGGAACGGGGAATTGGGAAAATGGGAATGGGAATGGGGAATTGGGGATTGGGGAATAGGAACGGGGAATTGGGAAAATGGGAATGGGAATGGGGAATTGGGGATTGGGAATGGGGAATTGGGAAAATGGGAATGGGGATTGGGGAATGGGGATTGGGAATTGGGAAAATGGGAACTGGGGATTGGGAATTGGGGAATTGGGGAGGGAAATGGGAATTGGGGATTGGGAACGGGGGAGGGGGAAATGGGAATTGGGAATGGGAATGGGAATTGGGAATTGCGGATTGGGATGGGGAAATGTGGAGGGGAAATGGGAAATGGGAATTGGGAATGGGGAATTGGGGATTGGGGATTGGGGAGGGGAAAATGGGAATTGGGGAATTGGGGATTGGGAATGGGAATGG